TGGAACGCATTGGTCTCGGCGTTAAGTGCATTGTTCCCAGATTGTCGGTCCCCTTGTTATCCTCGTGGTACTCCGACTTCGGAAACGGCCGAAGTGGCGAAGAGAGACGGCAGGATTAATGGCCTCCTGAAGTGGTACTAAACTGGCCGAGGGGCGAGGCATACTCGCTATGGAGCATCGAGTTGAATGATCAACGACGAGGATAGACCGGCATAGACATTAGAGACCTCATAGTAAACCTGTCACCCCAAAACCACGAACATGCACCAGATTCGACTTGATTTGATAGCTTGAGATGAGCTTGACTACGGCTTGACGGCGCGCGCGGAGAACGCGCGAAACAGGGAAGACAATGAAGGAGAGAGCTGGTGTGCCGTGTTTGTGTGGAAGAGGGAAGGACGAACGGGGTGGGAGGAAGAGGAAAGGACGGTGCTTGTTTGGATCCTTCCTATCCTATACTTTAAAACACGAAGAGCACTGCCACCACGTGAAAATCATGTGATAAGTCACATGCTTCTTCCCATGAGATGCCCGAGCGTTAGCGAGGGCCAAAACAGGCGAGCTCGGAATCTGCCGTGCCTTTGTGAGCGCAGATTGTGCGGCAAAACACCCACCAAAGGCGGGTCCCCTCAACTTGTGTGTACACTAAAACACAACTAGCCGAGATCATGTGATATATCACATGCTTTGTCTCACGAGATACCCGAGTGTTAGCGAGGGCCAAAAACAGGTGAGCTCACAATCCACCATGTCGTTGGGAGCACAGAACCTACTGTGAGCCTACGCACCGAAGGCGGGTCCCACTCAACTTGTCCCGATCAAAACGAACCATTTGCGCACACGTGACAAAGGTATGGTACGGGTTCGGACTCATCTGGACCGCTCAACGTTGTCGCGCGACATACGCTGCACCTGCCTTTGTGTCGATTGAGCTAATTTTGGGCATGGGCAATCCCACGCTTTTTGGCGGGCGATCAATTGATCACGCGATTAGCGCCGATCAATGCGCCGGCCCAAAATCTGTCCACAACTTTCGGGAAAGAGAACCACACCAGCAACCACCCTCGGACTTTTTACTAATCAACTTAATACGGTATTCTAGATGTTTTTGTCAAAAAAAATCTTCCACTTTGAGAAAGGGTCTCCAGATCTCCCTTGGGTCACCGCTGAATTACCCAGTTCCCAGATGATATCTGGTAATGTTTTCTGACAAAAACATCTAGAATCTCATGTTAACTTATTTGGTCAAAAGTCCGGGGGTCTTCGCCGATGTGGTTGTTCATCCCGAAATGCCTGCCCAATCGCGTAAACAGGGGTAAACAACGCGCACTCCTGCCTTCTGTAGGGCGCCCAAGGGCTGGGAAAAAATTGAAGCATCTTTTTGAGATGTCTCAGGGCTCATCCTGAGGCTTTGAGAACAAAACAAGATGAAAAACTGTGGACCCCTTCTGCCATTATTGATTAGTATTGCTCATTGTGCTGCAATTACCTCTTTACAAAGTCATATGTGAGCTCAGTACATCTGTTACTAATATTATTCATGCTCCTGCAATGTGAAACCGTCCCAATCCACAAGATGAAACAAAGTGGATGAATTTCGGCTTTTGATGGCTTAGTCAGCTAACGATCGGCGAACCGGGGCTGCCCATACCCACTAATTTGAGCGAGCTGATCATGACCTCAGAATCATTTCGGACCACAGTTTTTTCGATGTAAATTGCGCGCTTAATTCGGCCTCTGGCGGGAGCAAATTCCTTCTGAATGGGTTCAGAGCTACAGTAGCATTCTACCCCACCCTATGAAAAGTACCCCTGGATTACTACTCGATTGACCCTCCGCCGCATCACGATTGAAGTCGTAAGCGCAACGGGGTTTACAATTTCCCGCGCTGATATTGATCATTAATAATTGCTACGTATACCAGTCCATTGGGTAATTGATTTCTGCCTTTACTTCGCTTCCCCTTGAGAGTACATGAGAATAGGGGCAGCCAGAGTAGAGGATTATGGTCAGATTATACACGAGGATTCTCGACAGATTAATGAATTGTTTATCGTGGGATAATCCTTGAATCGCCTCCAGAGCGGTTATGCGAGGATTGTGGATTATGGATTCTGAGAACCTGTGGGATCTGCTCACTGGTATGGTGGTCAGAGTGCCCCTTTAATAAAACAGGGGTACACTTCGCGATTTTGGCCACATTTTGACGTATCAAAAGATGAAAATCAGCTGGAGGAAAACAAACTTCTTGTGTGCATAACCTCTATCACTTTTTTGCACACCCAAAACTTTGTTTTTGGTTCACTGAATAAACACTTTTGGTTGGTAAAAAAAATCTGAACCTAAGAAAAAAAAAAGTTCTGAGTAGAAAAAAAAACTCAACCACGGTCTTCTTTTCCTGCCGACCAGAAAAGTGTTTTGACTGCAACACAAACTTTCAGAGGTAAGTGGCGGTGCTAACCCTAATTTGATCCGGTGTCCGTATCCAGCTTGATGCAAGTTGTTCTTTGCTGAGGTAAGTAACATGCCATCTATCCCACAGGATATCATAGGTGGCACCCTCCAGTTTCTGGTAGACAAATCCAGTTCCCAGATGCCGGTGCAAAGTGTAGTAAACCCCTCCTGTAGACCATCGCCAAGGGAGATGGTTCGGAAGATGTACGACTGTGCGGGATGTTCCATAGATGGCATCTGGGACCTGGATTTGTCTACCAGAAACTGGAGGGTGTCACCTATGATGTCCTGTGGGATAGATGACCTGTTACTTGACTTACCTTAGCAAAGAACAACTTGCATCAAGCTGGATACAGATACCGGATCAATCGATCAAATTAGGGTTAGCACCGCCACTTACCTCCGAAAGTTTGTGTTGCAGTCCAAAACTTTTCTGGTTGGCAGGAAAGAAGACCGTGGTTGAGTTTTTTTTTTCTACTCAACACTTTTTTTTTTCTTAGGTTCATATTTTTTCACCCACCAAAAGTCTTTGTTCAGTGAACCAAAAACAATGTTCTGCGTGTGCAAATAAAAGACAAAGGTCAAGCATGCAAGGAGTTTGTCTTTCTCCAGTTAAATTTCATCTCTTGGTATGTCGAATTGTGGCCAAAATCAGACACTTTACCCCGATTTTATTAAAGGGGCACTCTGACCGCCATACACTGGGGCTCAGAGTGGCCGGGAGTGGTCCAGGGGCGATGGTGTATTTTTACTTGCTTTGTACACCGGGATAATCCCTGGAAACCGGCGTTCATTATTCGGACCGTGCCGTGTAATGCTACCTACCTACCTACCTACCTATCTGATGGTGCAAAGTTGAATTCCATAATCACGCCATATCCAAAGGATTTCTGAGGCCGGTCAAAATTGAAGAGATTGTGGTGGGGATTATGGAGGGACTATTGACTTTTAAAATTCAGTAATCCTTTGCAGAATCCCACCACAATCTTTCCTTCATAATAATAATAGTAAAATATTCTACCACGTGAGAAGCCCGTAGAACACGATAGTAGCACCAGAATTTTATAGACCTTCAGAGTTTAACATAGACCATTGTAGTACCAGGGTAATTTTATAGACACTGAAAGACCATCCAAGACCTGTATAGTCTGGTGTGTGTCTATAGAGACATTTTGGTTTTTCCTGATGTTGTTCTTCTCCTTTGTCAAACAGTGCTGACAGTGATTTCTCTGACCTGCAGACCCTCCTCAACCTTGACTTTGACGCCGACCTGCAGTGCATGTACACACTCCTTGCACGCATCCCCGCAAACCTTGTTTGTGTCATTAGTTGGCAGATCTCAAAGGTCAGTGGCCTCACATGCCGACTCGGATGAGTCCTGTGCATCCCTCATCAAGCATGGCACTATCAACTGTGGTATGAACCTCGTCCGCTGCATTAATTAGCACTTTTTTCTTCCATCTAATCCAAATTTATATGTGTGAAGATCATCCCATCACCCTTGCGGTTGAGTCGTCCGGCACCATGGTCGCCTCCACACCCTCCGTTGTAACTTGTCTCCGTACCGCATTGGACCAACCAGTGCACCCTCTCCGCCGGCGCAGCGACTTCCGAGTCCATTGTGATCCCTTACACCAGGTATCAATTTTTCTTGGGCTCCACTTTACTCCCCAGTATTCTTGACCAATCTGCTCAATGAGCTTATACTGCGGCGCGTGATCATGCAGTAGTTCTGTACATTGTTATCATCTGCATCCATTTGTTTGTGTTCTCGTTCCTCTCCTGTGCCGCCTGAAAGCAATTAAAGCATAACATTCCTACTCAAAGAATGCACCATGAGGGGTGGCGAGGAATGACGACCTTGAGCCGGAAAAGCCACTGCACGTGCGGTGGTTGTACGGTAGATCACCTTGGGGAAGAGGGTAAAGATAAAGACTTGAAAGAGAGTGAGCAGGGCGAGAGTCGAACTCAAACGGTCCAAAAACATCTGCAAGGGCGGACCGCACAACTAACAACGCAGTCATTGATACTTTCCTGGGAATATTCTCCTACTTTCTATATCATCCACCTACCCTATTCAAACAAGTCCACCTACCCTATTATTTGAATAAAAACCTGTTCAAATATTCCGCGGGACATAACACCAGAGTCGTAAACATTGTGTAGCTATTGTGGGAAGTGAGTAAGTAAGTTAGAAAATGCAACAAAAGCAGTTCTGTTGAACCCGGGGTGTCTCAAATGAATGCATAAGTCAGAATGAGAAGTGTTACTGTTACACCAAGAACACATCATTGCTTTACACATCCGGAGGACACGAGGTGCGGTTCAAAAAAAAGAATGAAATCACGGACCTTGGTTTTGACCACAAAACTATTGTCTACACCTTTGGCGCCCTCCGGGAGTCGAACCCGGGACCGCTCGGTTGTTCAACTGAAAGTGAGGATATGTTACCGTTACACCAAGGGCACAACAGCAACAGCAACGAAGCGTAGTTACTGTGGGAAGTTTTTAAAAAAATGGACAAAAACATTGTGTCAGAGCGAACAGGCGCTCTCCGGGAGTCGAACCCGGTACCACTCGAAAGTAGTTTATGAACGTGTGTTACCGTTACACCAAGGGCGCAATCGTGATCTGCAACATATGGAGGATGTGAGGTGCAAAGCAAAGAACAGTCAGAAGAAAGGCTTTCAGGATGATATAGGCGCCCTCCGGGAGCCGAACGCGGGACCCCCTCTTATTCATGGAATGAAATCATGGGCCGTACGTAGGTTTGATAACCCAACAAAAACAGTCAGAAGAAGAAAAAAAGCAAGAAGAGAAATGGACAAAAAGCAACTCTGGATGAGCTAGGCGCCCTCCGGGAGTCGAACCCGGGGTTTCTCAAATCAATGGACGATTTAGAATGAGAAGTGTTACTGTTACACCAAGGGCACAACAGCTTACCACCTTACCGAACATAACCATGGTCTTGGGAACGAAAAAAAATCACTGAGCATTGAACAGTCAGAAAGGAGAAAGAGACCAAAAAGAGGGTTGAAGCTGGACAGGCGCCCTCCGGGAGTCGAACCCGGTACCGCTCGAAAGTACTTTAGTGAGCGTGTGTTACCGTTATACCAAGAGCACGATGCCAATTTGCGCCACACGGTCGGTAGAGTACCTGAGAAAAAGAGTTTTGAGATTACCCGACCACTTTGATTCCAAAGAGGAGTGTGTGTTATCGTTACAGCAAATTGTCCAACATAGTGAGGTGCTGTTGAAAAAATCAAACCATATATATTATGGACCACGGTTTCGCCCAAAACAACGTTGTATACGCTTTAGGCGCCCTCCGGGAGTCGAACCCGGGACCTCTCAGTCCAAATGAAAGCGAGGATATGTTACCGTTACACCAAGGGCGCGGTGCTGTTCGCTGCCAACATCTGCTAAAAGAATTGGACCAAAACAGCTTGTGACCGTGAGGCGCCCTCCGGGAGTCGAGCCCGGAACTTCTCGATTATTCAAAAGAGTAGTGAGATGTGTGTTACCGTTACACCAAGGGCGCGTAGCAACAGCAGCGGGCGTAGTTACTGTTGCAAGCTTCTACAAAATGGACAAAAACAAAAGCATTCGTATTCAAGGCATAGGAACGTGTCGGATGAAGCAGCCCCCAAAAAGCAACAAGAGATCATTCAGGCGTCCTCCGGGAGTCGAACCCAGTACCACTCGAATTCATGCTGGATAGTGTGTGTGTGTTAGCATTACACCAAGGGCGCATTCTGATTACCCATCCCTACCCGACCTCTGGCCGACCCGATGACGCACACGTGCGCGCGGATCGGGCTTGGCAGCGGGGAACTCGACATGCCACGAGGCGGAGCGAGGCGGGATGTGATTGGCGGCCAGGTGATAAGGACCCCGGGGAGCGCGGCGCTTCTTCGGCGTGCGGGGATCCGCGCATTTGCGTTTGCGCTCAACTCAGCTTAACTGAGGAGGGGAGGGGCGAGAGCTACGCAGCGCCCACATCGGAATAAACACCCCCGACATCGGAATAAACACCCCGCCGAGCCAGTCGACTCACCCAACAAACGCCGCCCCTATTCATATTCATAACAATTGGTGGACACTCACGCCTCCCGCTAACTCCGTGATGCGAAATTCGCCACGCGCCAACAGTACCGCACGCGCAGATCGATTCGGTTCGGCTCGCGAGGAAAAGAAGCGCAGGCAGGTTGCAACCCGTTGGGCGGGGCGCAGGGTGCCGTGATCCAGCTGCACCGCAGGGCACTGGCGTCTTTAAAAGCCGAGGACACCCACCCACGCACGCGCTTCCCGTCCCCCGTCCCTCCGCCGCCACCCACCCACTAATACTTTATAAGTGCTATTCCCGGGCGAGTGAACAAACGCTATAACAAAGGACAAAGGCTATAAGAGTGAGTGCGCGCATCCCGCCCTCCTGACCACCGCCGACAGCCGACAGGACGCGGCGCCATCGCCATCGCCCGATCACGGTTGCTTGTATCGCGTAAAACTCGTGCCGCCCGCCGCCGCCGTCGCTTACCTCCGCCGACCTTCTGGAACCGCTTCTTGGAACAACCAACCGCCCGTCATCTGCCCCTGCTTTAGGTCCCGCATCTTGGCGCTCCATTGTGCCCTTGACTGGCTTTCTTTGACTGTACGCAACTACGACGATGCCCGAAGCGATGGACACCGAGAGCGAGGCGCCGCCTATAGCTACCCTCGCTGGCTCCTCTGAATCCGTATCCCCCTCACACCATACCAGCAATTCCAATTTACATACGATTCCGACGACGACGACGAAGCAAAATACTACTACTGCCACCGAGGACGTGCCGATGCTCGATTCCACGAAGGAGGCCACCGCTTCCGCCCCTGTTGCTGTGGGTGCGAAGGACGCCAGCCCGGGTACGAGCGCGAATAAGGTGAAGACGGACGCGGCCCCGGCGCCGACGTTCAAGTTGACGATCCCTGCGGAGGCGGGTGCGATAGGAGGGTGAGTGGGTTTCTCGTCGTTTTGTCGAATGTGGGGGCGGATGGGGGCAGAGTGCGGATGGGCGTGCGTTGGCGGTGGGGAGTGCGTTGGCAGATTGTGGCCGACTATGTCCTTGGGAGGGCGTGTGGATGGGCGGGGCGGGGCTGATGTGCGTTTGTGGGTGTCGTTCGTGGCGTCGAGCCGGGCGTCCTTCTGCCTTTTGCATTCGAGGCCGCAGTGCGCGCTTGCGCGGAGACATGACGGTGCATGGTCTACGACGGTACCTCTGCGTCTGCCGTTGCCGTTGCGCGTGGTCCGCGGACGTCGCGGGTGGCCTCGAAGCCTCGAAGCGAGTCTACAGCGTCGTGTGGTGGGCGGGTGGTCTAGCCTGTCCGAGGGTATCTTCACCGTCCGCGCCATCCTCCTTCGAGACGTACGCACACCTCTTCCGCAGATCAATGAATGAATGGATGTTTCCGGATGTCGCGCGTGGGCGTGGATCGCATCATACCCGTTCACCGACGCCGCTGGCGGCTGTCGGTGTAGGCGCTACGGCGCCCTCTCCTCTCTTCTTTGTTTCTATCTTTCCTTACACCTCCCTCCGCACATTCTAACTCCTCCCTCCCTTTACCTAGTCCCGCAACCGCAAACACCCCCGCCTCTCAACTAGCCGCCCTCCTCTCCTCCGCCCTCGCCTCCCTCGACACCCTCCGCGACGAACTCGGCACCATGACCAAACGCGCTGAAAGGGCGGAGCGCCTGCTGGGCATGGTGGGGGTGGTGGTGGGCGAGGCTGCGGCTACTTCCACTGCTCCTGCTACTGCTACGACTTCCACTTCTACGGGCGCCGACGCCGCCGCGGGTACCGACACCGTACCAGGCAGTGGCAGTGGTGACCCAAACTCAAACCCAAACGCAACGGACCCCGCGCTCCCCCCCGCCCCGCACCTCCACGCCGCCTACACCTCCGCCCTCGCCCTCTCCGACGCCGCGCGCCTGTCCGCCGAACACGCGCGCGACGAGGCCCTCGCGCGCCTTACCCTCATCAAGGAGAACTGGGCGCAGCTGGATGAGTATTTGGGCGTCGTGGAGGAGCGGGGGAGGGACGCGCGGGGGGGGATGGGGAGGGTCGTTGGGTCTGCTTCTCATGTTTTGGCATCTCATCCCGGGGAAAGAGGAATAGGTGGGGAACGAGGAGATGTCGGTGGGAAGTTGGTGCTGCTCGACGTCCCGCACATGGCGCTCGCCCCCAGCTCTGCCTCTACCTCCACCGCCGGGGTGTACCCGTACCACAACCTCCTCCCGCACAACACCAATAACTACGGCTACCCCGCGTATGGCGCGCCGCAGTATTACCACCGCGACGAACGCGAACGCGAGCGGGACTCCTCGCGCCGAAGGTCGACGCGCGACCGGGAGGGAGGGGCGTTTGGCGGGTTGCCGCTTCCGCCACTTCCCAACGCCTCTTCCTCTACCAACCCCGCCAACGCCAACTCGATTTTGAATAATAACGGAGGCGCACGCACGGGCGAACGCCGGCCGCGGACGGAGAGTATGGAGTTTGGGGGTGGCGGCCCCGGCGCGCGCGGGGACAGGGACGGGGGTAGGGACGGTGGTAGGGATGGTGGTGGGAGGGGAGAAAAGGGGGAAAGGGACGCGAAGAGGGCGAGGGTGGATGGGGAGTATCGGGATGATGTGCGTTTCTTTCTTCCTTTCTTTCTTTCGTTACGTCGAGGTCGGCTGGACGGCGCGCGCTGCGTCTCTCCTTGGTGGGCGCGGGCAGGGAGACGATCGACGCCTTTTCCTTTCTTTTTTTTCTCTCCGTCGCCGGTCTTTTCGTGGATCGTTTTATTTTTATTTTGTAATCCGCCGGGCTGGGCGCAGCGCGTGCGGATCTATTCGAGTCGTCTGGGCGCCCCGCCGACGGACTTACCCTGACGATCTTTGTTCGCAAAGTGTCTGCGTCCCGCTCTTCCATTTTCCATTTATTCCATTTTATTATTCGCTTCCCTTCCCGCTCTTCCCTTTGTATCAACTATTGACGCCCATCTCTAGTACCACCCGAACCCAAACGCGCCATACTACCCCACCTCCACCTCTTCGCGCTACCCCGTCGCCTCCCTCTCGCGCCTCCCCCCCGCGTCCTCCTTACCCGGCCCCTCCTCGCGCCCGCACACCGCCGGCAGCGCGACCGGGGGCGGCGGGCATCGCCAGCACACGCTCGATTCGCAGCACCAGCACCACCATGCGCGCGAGGGCCGGCGCCACAGTGGGGATCGGCATAGCGATGGTGGAGGAAGAGGCGATGGAGGGGGAGGAGGGGGAGGAGGGAGGGACAGGTCCCCGAGCACGGCGGCGTCGGACGACCTCGACGCCATGTTGCTCGAGAGCGCGAATGCGTCGCCCCGGCCGCACTCGCACTCCCACCACCCTCAGGCGCATGCCCACCAAGTACAAGGACACGCGCCAGGGCAAGGGCAAGGGCAAGCGGTGCAGGGACGGTCGCCGGAGTGGGCGCGCAGCAATACGTTGGAGGCGCCTGTGTTGGCGCAGGTACAGCAGCAGCAGCAGCAGCCGAGTCGGGCGGGGAGCGTGGGTGGGGGTGTCGCTGCGTACCCCGCTGTGAGCTCGGCACCGCAGGCGACGGCGACGCCGGGGAGGAAGGGGACTGCGGGGAGTGTGGGGGTGCCGGTGAGTTGGTTTTTTGTTTCATTTATTTTAATTTCGGGATTGGGTAAAGTCGTCGAGGCGATCGTGTTCGCGGAGCTTCCAGACGTCGTTTCTCGAATTTCCGATCTTATCCTGTCTCTTTCTTCGCGCGCCCGTGATGCTAACCAATGTTTTTGTGTAGACCCCCGCCGGCTCCCCCTTCCCCGCGACCAACGCGCAGAACCAAAGGATTTGCAGACAGTGTGGGTTGCCGGGGCGGTACAAGGTGCGTTTGCGTTTCGTTTCCTCCTAAGGCTGAAGACAAACGCTGATGATTGCTGCGTTTGCAGGAGGGCAAATGCGTAGAGAAATGGGGTCCGGGGCCGTTGGGACCTGGGACGGTGTGCGATCGGTCAGTGTTACTTGCTTGCTTTCCCTCGATATCCGAGCTGACGTTATCCCTCAGATGCCGCAAAAAGATGAAGCGCGTCGAGCGCCGCGGGACGCTCGAGCAGCAGATGGCACAGTCGCAGAACGCTGCTGCCGCCGCCGTTGGTGCGTACCCCTCCTTCCTTCTTCAAAACCTCATGCTAATTTGTGTGCGTCGTAGCCGCACCCACCCCAAGCTCCTTCCGCACCCCCAACGCCAACGCGCCGATCCACCGCACGGACACGCTCCCGCCCTCCGCGCCCGCGTCCACCCCCGCGTCCACGGCGAACGTGAACCCTGGCGCGGCCTACCGCGACCGCGAGCCGCCCCAGGAGTCGAGCATGCGCTCG